ACATTATAACATAATTTATTCATATATACTCTCTTCTTCATCATACACTGTTCACTACTTCCCACCTTTTGAACCGAGAGGATTAATTCATTAGCTCCCCCACCTCTCATTAATCTAATGGCAGAGGCTACATTTATCTCTGAAATTCTATCCCCAATACTCTGCAGATTCAACTCCATCCTCATTATCTCAATCATAGCATTTCTTGGGCATCCTAAGATAATTCTCATTGCTTCATTTTGTACCTTCTCCAACTTGCCCATCCTACCTTTACCAAAACAAGAAATGACAGGTGCAGCATAATCAATAAGAGATCTTACAGTACTCAAGTATATCATTCGTAGCACAGGGACTCCCACTCCCTTTCCACAGCATGCCAAGGCCTTCAGAGGTTGTAATCTCTTCCGACATTGACCCAACAGTCTGTTCATCTCAGCTTCCAAACTCTCATGGGTATATCCAACATATATGCCGAAATATTTATATATATTAACTCTCTCTATATTTTTATCGTTTATTTTCAAAACAATGGGGCTCCGACTTCTACATTCAAACTTAGTTTTGTTTTCATTAACCACCAATCCCATATGGTGACACAGGTTTCCGAAATTGTCCAACACTGTTTGAACCTTTGAAATACTTTAACATAGACATATATAAAGCTCAAGTGAAGATACATACGTTTTTATAGTGGCATTCAGTAGCTTGTCGGTCATGGAATGCAAAAGCCTACGCACTTGCCAATATAGTGTGTAATTAACAAAGATACGCTTATAAAGCCTAAAATATTATATGCCTTCAGAAAGACAGAGATATGCTCGTTATTGTGAGTGCACCGAAGGAAATATATCTTGTTGGAGGACAAAGATATATCAATTCTAAAATAAGTTTCGACTCTCGCTCGGGCGAGAGATAGCGCGACTCTCGCCCCATCTATTGGAGATTCTGTTCACCTAATGACCCAAAGCTACTCAAAGCCTCCTAGCATTACTTAAATAATGAAGAAATATGGTATATTTATTCACTATAATATTGGTGCTTAATGCAGAACACGAGAAAACATATATTTACTATAAAATAATATACTTCCATTATGAAATAAGTAAATATGTGGCCTCATAGGAAGTCAACAGTCCAGGTGTCAATGTTGTGGAGCGACTTATCCAAGATATATTGTTGTCTGGAAAGTGTTGGCATATCAACCTTCTGTACACAGTGATCCAGTCGTCGCACTTCTCTCCTTAAATGATCGCAAATTTAGTTTATTATATTAACAAGTAGAATACGTATTTCTAATAATATCTAACATAACTAGCCAGAAAATATTTAAGACTTATTGAAAAATACATGTCTGGAAGTTCACTTTCGCGCTCTCGGCGTTCAAAAAAAATCATACCCTAGATGCTTTGGGCGCTTCGCGCGCCTACGCGGTAAGACCGAAAAAGTGTACACTCTTTTGACTGTCCTGACAATATTTGAAGGCGCACGTATTTAAATTTGGTATCACTGTGTTCGCAATAAAATTGTCTATAAGAACATATCTATAAAATGCCGCCAAAGCATAAGGATTATCAACACCAAATAAAAAACTATTCAGATCACTAGCCAAGAGCGCCAAACAGCAACAAAATGTTTCCACTCTCTTAATGGTTGCGAAGCCTACAGTTGTCCTACATCGCTAATTGTGGTATCATTGGAATCGCAATAAAATTTTCTACACGGACATATGCATATAAATATAGATTCAATGTCGTAGCCCACCCAAAACAGTGTGGGAAGTGGCCGAAGTGTTACCCGCGGCGGCATATCGGCGAAACTCGCTTTGAAAAGTGTATATTCAATTCACTGTTCTGACATTATTTGTCGATGTATGTATTTCATTTTTGTACCAATGTGCTCGCAATAGAATGTTCTATAAGAACATATGTATTAAAGGTCACATAAGGATGCGTTCGACCGGCAACATATATAAAAACTACGTCGATTATACTCGTCGTGTCAATAATACAATTGTTTTACCACGATGATTCACTGCCACGCCGTTTTCTTTAATAAGCTGTTCGGCTATTAGAAAAAACGTAAATTTCATGGCAAACATTTGTAAACTATTCCCAAGTTGATCGGATAATAAATAGATTTTATACAAATATTTTTGCTCGTGACTCCCGAGAGGGGCACGCGTGCGGTGTGATTAATAATACTGGTGACAACGACGGTCTGCAGGAAAGCGCCAAAGTGTTAAATCGACTTCATAGAACAACAGTGTTGGTCTATACTAATCGTTATTCGTTAGTATGCGTTCGCTACTTAAAACATTTACTGCACTGATGTAAAATCTCCCACGTCTCTTCGCACATGGAACACCGAACCTTACACACTCTCTGATATATTGTTTAATTAATAGAGATTCACTAATAAAGCTTATAATTGTATAAGTTATCAAAAAGGCATAGATAAAGTCGTTCTTACGTTTTAGTCAGAGATTAGATATTAGTAAAGTAAAGTTAATTTTATTCAGGAAAGTACATAAATAGTCGATTTATAAACATAATATTGGATTTATAGATAAAGCTAGTACATACAATACCTAAAGCCACTAGTACGCATAGCGTTTCGGGCATATTATTGAGAGAGGAAAGATATTTATATTTAAACAAATTTTTTTTTTTACCGTCCCTATTGATGAGAACTACAACCTAATGAAGATAAATGTTAATTTTATGTAGATACTGTAATAAACGAAAGTTTTTAATGTCATCAGAGAAGCAGAAATATAGGCAAATTTTAAATCCCTTGTCATAAATATAACTGGAGTGAAAGCAAAGATATATGCATTTTGATAGTTACAAAGACAGCTCTTTAACACGGGTGTTCAAGTTCAAGTATGTTTATTGAGATAAGCAATAAATATATCTCAAAGGGATAGAGTAGCTTAGGCTATTTCTACCCTAAATTAATTTGTCTATTATTTCTAATAGACAAATTACAATACAAGAATCCCATTTAACATTGCAGGTTAATATAGTAAGTACAGCATATAATTGTTACACTCTTGGGGCAAAATTCTTGTAGCTCCTAAGTATACTGTCTATCATACCATTATCACACATCCAAACAATTTGATGTGGTACACTATTTATTTCCTTATTTCTATAGTTTTCAATAAGTTGACATTCTTATACATAATGTTCTAAGGTGTGGGCGTGCGGCATACTACATAATTTACACTCCTTATCTTTTTCACTGACATCAACACCGTATTGCCAGATATATTTGTATCCTAATCTTAATACTTTTTTTTATCTACTGTTGAGAATATGTAAGACAAATGTAAGGTTTTGAGGCTAAGTAACGAAGATAGTTACAAGATACGAGCCAGATGGTGTTGAGATTGCAAAAGGGATTATGAAAAGAACTTAAGCCAAAAAAAATCAATGCATAAATGTTCGCAAATATGAGACTGGGATTTATTTCTTGAAAAGTTAGCAATAAAATACGCTTTCTAGTTCTTTATTTTTTAAATTAAGACCAGGGATTCTGTCTAACGAAGCTAGTAGTATTTTGTAGGGTAATTTGTTATAGGTGTAATTTGATGTCAACAGATGGCGTAAGCTGTATCTTATGGCCACTGTTAACCAGCCAGTTGATAGTGTTCTCTTCTGCCGACAGATGGCATCAGCTGTGTTATTATTACTTCCGAATTCCCTTTAAACACTGATCTACAAATCCCTTGGCTTATGATAAGGTTTTATACCATTTATGATAAGTATTAGATAACTGGAGTTCCGCAATTACTTTTATTTATCAACTGTTGAGGATATCATCATATAATGTCTGGTTAGGACGTACTGCTCTCGATCGATGAAGATTAAGCCACCCAAGAGGTGGCACGGGCATGAATAGCCCGTAAATACTGCTCTCGTAATATTATTCAGGGGGGTGGGGGAACTATCAGGTGAAAGGGGCAAGCCATTACGACTATATAGCACTGGGAAGGGATCAGGATTCGGATTTGGGATGGAACGGGGGAAAGGAATGGTGCCCAACCTCTTGGGCGGTCGGGGATTGAACGCGGACTTGTTGGAAACGAGACCGTCGCTCTACCGTCCAGCCCAAGTGGTTAAGCGTAATATTATTAAAACAACAATATATGCATATAATAACAGCATTTCACACTAAAAATACTTGGATATATTGAAATTTGGTAGTGAATCCCAATCTAGGAATCTCCTATGACTAAACTGTACTTTTTAATCATTTTTATGTACTTATTATTAAATTATTAAGTACTTACTATAATAATTAAATAAATTATTTTATTTAATATTTAAATTAAATGATAAAATAATAGGTAATAATAAATCATTGTGTAGGGGGACAGGCAGCCAGTGTATATATACATGTTAGTCCCTTGTCATAAATATAACTGAAATGAAAGCAAAGATATATGCATTTTGATAGTTACAAAGACAGCTCTTTAACACGGGTGGAACACGAACAAGGGGAACTTAGTACCCAAATGAGCCACAGAGATATTAGAAAGAATTTTTTCAGTGTCAGAGTAGTTAACAAATGGAATGTATTAAGCAGTGATGTGGTGGAGGCTGACTCCATACACAATTTCAAATGTAGATGTGATAGAGCCAAATAGGCTCAGGAACCTGTACACCTGTTGATTGACGGTTGAGAGTCGGGACCAAAGAACCAAAGCTCAACCCCTGCAAGCACAAATTAGGTGAGTACAACTAGGTGAATACAGCTGAGGGGCGGGACCAAACAGCTGAAGCTCAATTCCCTACGCATAACTAGGCGAGTCCATAGGAATTACCGTTTGTCCTGGCGCCATCTATGTTTTGACAGGAGTACTAGTAATGTTCCCACGTTATGTGATGATCGCTATACGGGTTTTACGGTCAGTTGCTCTTCTATATATGTTTATGGACAACGTAGGTGATTTGAGGCAATTTGCGGCCAGAGTGAAATACTGTAGTATCCACGCGGTGAGTGATGGAGGAGGATATATACTGCTGTGTACTCGACCAGCGGGCGAGAGGTAAGTTATATCGAACAATTATGGGAAATAGATGGGTTATTTTAAGCGTAGAATGTCAGGTAACCGGTAACTACACAGATGGGGTAGTGTTTTTTTAAGTCTTTATTTACTAAAGTGGAACATTACATTATGCCTTTAGCTGAACAAGTCTACTGGTAGGGGAAGTAGACGGGTTTTATGAAAGTATTTTACCTAAATATTTATTTGGTTAACTAGTTCAGACGTTACCAGAGGGTGTTCCTTTTAATCTAATCTTAATCTAGCCGGACGAAGTGATAAAATAAATTGAATAGAACGGAGTGGTTTGCCAGGGTGCTTAACGTTTAGTTTAATTCATTTACTATGCAGCCCATGCTTAAAGAATGCAAGTTAACCATATTTAATTTACCGTAGTTTTACTAGACTCAATACTGTATACCGTTTTTACTCTATTTAATACAGCATGTCTGGTAAATGCCAGTCGCGGAAAGTTCCTAATATGGTATGTTTTAAAGGAAAATTTTGTAAAGTTAATTTTATCGCTTAAGTTAGCGGCCAATTAGCTTAGTCTATTCTGAGGAAAGTTACTAGAATCTAACATTGCAAGTACCATCACTTCTTTTTGAGAAACGTGACTAGATACATGAATCGCATAATTTGACTACTGGCTGTTCATGGTTTAGGTTACATAGTTGATCAAATAGTGATAAGGTTTGTGATTTTGTGTACTTTGACTTTAGCAGAGATTTTGATAGTGGCACAAAATTGATAAGAGGCTAGCATCATTGGGAGTGCTGACTCAAGTTGATTAGGGCGTGGTTATACCAAAGGAAATGATAGTATAAATGGGGTTAAGTTGGGGGCAGAAATGTTGAAAGTAGTGCCTAAAGGCTGTCCTTGGACCTCGGTTATTCACAACACCAAATTTTGGTTTAGACTGCAATAGTTGCAGAATTGGCATATAAAAAAACTGATGCCCTAAATAGTTTTGAAATAGTTAAGACTACCAAATGCAGTTTAATGCTGACACGTGTAAGGTTTGGAGGCTAGGTAAAGATGAGCTAAATCGTGTAGATTGTTAAGGGTATTAAATTTTTTGCAGGTGGTAAATTCTCCCTCGGCTGGCACTGCTCTCCAGCCCGGATGTTGATTGGTTAAGTCTTGAACTGCCTCCCAACATGCAGTGAGGAACGTGGAAAGCTCCCTGAATTGGCACATGGTATGCCTCCCTTTCAAACCAGTAGCTGGCACAAATGTTCCAGCCAACATCAGAATAGTGGATGAAGCCCACACTAAAATGCAAGTGGTACAGTAAATGGACCCCCCCCCCCCCTTTGACACTGAACAGTTGGGAGGAAAGGGGGGGGGGGGAAGTGTGGCTTATAGTTGTATTGCTACAGAATCTTTTGCCATAAACCAGTGGCACAGCCTATTGGCACTTGCTATTCAGAATCTTCCCCCTTACATAGTTAATTAAAAAGGAAATGCTGTAGACAAGCTTAACTTTTTGAAGGGGGCAACATTTTCGTTGCCATCAAAGCACATCAAAGATGCTCTGAGCTAGCTTCCCCTAGTCATTAGTGAATGGTGGCTAGTAACTCTAATAGGAACTTTACTGTCATTAGAATCTATGCAGAAAAAGTGTGCACTTCTGCCAGTTTGCTAGAAATTGGCATACTTGCCCTCTTGTACCATGTTACTCAACCATAACCATCACACCACCCATTTAAGAAATTAAACATTTTCCATTTGAATTTTTAAAGTACTGAATGCTAATTTTAAAAGTAAAGCTAGATCAGTTTTAAATCTGAAGCTAATTTGTTTACATATTTTTCAGATGATGGTGATTATGATGCATGGACTGGCTTGGAGTGAGGCTCCTTTACTCTGCAAAAGGAAATCTACAAAGTGGGTGAGTTTGAATTCCATGTTTTAGCTATATCAATGACAGTTAATCTTAATTCTCTTATCTAGTCCATTTATAGGTGTGTAACTATGTCCTACTGTTACAACCCACAGGGATTGATGCAGTTTGTACTGATCCTACCCCATTTCATAGAAGGGGACCAGGCAGTCCTGCAGATTTCCCTGTCCTGGCGTTTTCAGAGCTTTGCTCTACTACCCATCTAATAGATGGACTAGAATTGCATAGGTTTAGGGACCCTTAACAATGGTGACATTTAATTCTTACAGGGCTTGTTTGCTGAATAGGTGCATGCATCTAAAACTCTAGTGCCTGGAATACATTGTACAGTGCTTACAAGAAAGCATATGTACAATGTGTTGATGGCACTAGAGTGGTGGATGTAATGCACCCATTTGGGGAACAAGCTCTGCACTAAAATATGAGGAAGGGATTGGCCTTGCTGAGCCAATGTTAAAAGATTGGGAGTTAGGATTTTTCTGGCTTATTATTAGGCATTGGTGATAATAAAAGTAGTGTCCCTGTTTAATGTTTATCTTTCTTTTACAGGTGATTGTCTCTGGAGTTGTCTTGGCCTTTTGGATCTTCTATTCATCTAGGAGCATCTGTCCCACAATCTGAAACTAATAAATATTAGATGTATTATAAATAGTATATGTAAAACTTATTAAATAAAACAATTTTAATGAAACTACTTTATATACCTTATCCTGAAATTATGCTGGAAATTGTTTACTACTATTAATGCAATGTTTAAACATCTGAAATTTTTTACTTTGAAAATAAATACTTGGTAAAATTTACACCTATTTGTAACTTGTTACATAGGAGCATGCATTGAAAAGATGTAAAAGTGGACTACCTATTCAATTTACATAAACTAACAAATATTGCAAATTAGTCTGAAATATTAAAGTGGAAGAAACTTTAGTCAATATTTTAGTTTTCATATTTGAAAGTAAATTTAAAGCTATGCAACACCTAAGCTTTGTACAAATTATAATTAAATTAACTAAAGATCATTGTTAAATTTACAAAACATTAGAAAAGTGACACAAACATCTATACAACATGGTTTTCACAGTCTTTGGTAACTTAAATTTAATCAAAGCTCTTAAATGATGTCTGCCAAACTTCAGATATTTTGAAATATTTTACCTAGATTAAAACCATCATTGTTTGAAAAATTGGGCTACTTTCGCTACTTTTTGGCCAAAATTTTGCTATTTTTAGCCCAAAATTTCCCTACTTTTTAGCCCAAAATTTCGCTACTTTTTAGCCAAAAATTGGGCTACTTTCGCTACTTTTTGCCCAAAATTGGGCTACTTTTTGGCCAAAATTTCGCTACTTTCGATACTTTTTAGCCCAAAATTTCGCTACTTTCGCTACTTTTTAGCCCAAAACTGGGCTACTTTCGCTACTTTTTAGGCCAAAATTGGGCTACTTTCGCTACTTTTTGCCCCAAATTGGGCTACTTTTTGCCCAAAATTTCGCTACTTTTGCTACTTTTTAGCCCAAAATTGGGCTACTTTCGCTACTTTTTAGGCCAAAATTGGGCTACTTTCGCTACTTTTTGCCCCAAATTGGGCTACTTTTTGCCCAAAATTTCGCTACTTTCCCTACTTTTTAGCCCCAAATTTCGCTACTTTTTAGCCCCAAATTTCGCTACTTTTAGCCCAAAATTTCGCTACTTTCGCTACTTTTTAGGGCAAAATTGGGCTACTTTCGCTACTTTTTGCCAAAAATTGGGCTACTTTCGCTACTTTTTGCCCAAAATTTCGCTACTTTTTAGCCCAAAATTTCGCTACTTTTGCTACTTTTTAGCCGAAAATTGGGCTACTTTCGCTACTTTTTAGCCCCAAATTTCGCTACTTTTTAGCCCCAAATTTCGCTACTTTTAGCCCAAAATTTCGCTACTTTTTTGATCAAAATTTCGCTACTTTCGCTACTTTTTAGCACAAAATTGGGCTACTTTCGCTACTTTTTGCCCAAAATTGGGCTACTTTCGCTACTTTTTGCCCAAAATTTCGCTATTTTTGCTACTTTTAAGCCCAAAAATTCGCTACTTTCGCTACTTTTTAGCCCAAAATTTCGCTACTTTTAGCCCAAAATTTCGCTACTTTTTAGCCCAAAATTGGGCTACTTTCGCTACTTTTTGCCCAAAATTGGGCTACTTTCGCTACTTTTTGCCCAAAATTGGGCTACTTTCGCTGCTTTTTGGCCCAAATTTCGCTACTTTTGCTACTTTTCAGCCCAAAATTCGCTACTTTTTCAAAATTTCTTTTACTTTTTAGCCCAAAATTTCGCTACTTTTTAGCCCAAAATTTCGCTACTTTCGCTACTTTTTGGCCAAAATTTCGCTACTTTCTAGCCCAAAATTTCGCTACTTTCGCTACTTTTTAGCCAATAATTGGGCAACTTTCGCTGCTTTATGCCCAAAATTGGGCTACTTTCGCTACTTTTTGGCCAAAATTTTGCTACTTTTGCTACTTTTTAGCCCAAAAATTCGCTACTTTCGCTACTTTTTAGCCCAAAATTTCGCTACTTTTTAGCCAAAAATTGGGCTACTTTTGCTACTTTTTAGCCCAAAATTGGGCTAATTTCGCTGCTTTTTGTCCAAAATTGGGCTACTTTCGCTACTTTTTGGCCAAAAATTCGCTACTTTTGCTACTTTTTAGCCCAAAATTTCGCTACTTTTTAGCCCAAAATTTCGCTACTTTTTGTGCCCAAAATTTCGCTACTTTTTAGCCAAAAATTGGGCTACTTTCGCTACTTTTTGCCCAAAATTGGGCTGCTTTCGCTACTTTTTGGCCAAAATTTCGCTACTTTTGCTACTTTTTAGCCCAAAAATTCGCTACTTTCGCTACTTTTTAGCCCAAAATTTCGCTACTTTTAGCCCAAAATTTTGCTACTTTTGAGCCCAAAATTTCGCTACTTTCGCTACTTTTTAGCCCAAAACTGGGCTACTTTCGCTACTTTTTAGGCCAAAATTGGGCTACTTTCGCTACTTTTTGCCCAAAACTGGGCTACTTTCGCTACTTTTTAGCCCAAAATTTCGCTACTTTTTAGCCCAAAACTGGGCTACTTTCGCTACTTTTTAGCCCAAAATTTCGCTACTTTTGCTACTTTTTAGCCCAAAATTGGGCTACTTTTTAGCCCAAAATTTCGCTACTTTTTAGCCCAAAATTGGGCTACTTTCGCTACTTTTTGCCCAAAATTGGGCTACTTTCGCTACTTTTTGCCCAAAATTTTCGCTACTTTTTAGCCCAAAATTTCGCTACTTTTGCTACTTTTTAGCCGAAAATTGGGCTACTTTCGCTACTTTTTAGCCCAAAATTTCGCTACTTTTTAGCCCAAAATTTCGCTAAATTTCGCTAAGCCCAAAATTTCGCTACTTTTTTGACCAAAATTTCGCTACTTTCGCTACTTTTTAGCCAAAAATTGGGCTACTTTCGCTACTTTTTAGCCCAAAATTGGGCTACTTTTTCGCTACTTTTTGGCCAAAATTTCGCTATTTTTAGCCCAAAATTAGCCTACTTTTTAGCGCTACTTTCGCTACTTTTTAGCCAAAAATTGGGCTACTTTCGCTACTTTTTGCCCAAAATTGGGCTACTTTTTGGCCAAAATTTCGCTACTTTTGCTACTTTTTAGCCCAAAATTTCGCTACTTTCGCTACTTTTTAGCCCAAAATTGGGCTACTTTCGCTACTTTTTAGGCCAAAATTGGGCTACTTTCGCTACTTTTTGCCCCAAATTGGGCTACTTTTTGCCCAAAATTTCGCTACTTTTGCTACTTTTTAGCCCAAAATTGGGCTACTTTCGCTACTTTTTAGGCCAAAATTGGGCTACTTTCGCTACTTTTTGCCCAAAATTGGGCTACTTTTTGCCCAAAATTTCGCTACTTTCGCTACTTTTTAGCCCCAAATTTCGCTACTTTTTAGCCCAAAATTTCGCTACTTTTTAGCCCAAAATTTCGCTACTTTCGCTACTTTTTAGCCCAAAATTGGGCTACTTTCGCTACTTTTTGCCCAAAATTGGGCTACTTTTTCGCTACTTTTTGCCCAAAATTTCGCTACTTTTTAGCCCAAAATTTCGCTACTTTTGCTACTTTTTAGCCCAAAATTGGGCTACTTTCGCTACTTTTTAGCCCAAAATTTCGCTACTTTTTAGCCCAAAATTTCGCTACTTTTAGCCCAAAATTTCGCTACTTTTTTGCCCAAAATTTCGCTACTTTCGCTACTTTTTAGCACAAAATTGGGCTACTTTCGCTACTTTTTGCCCAAAATTGGGCTACTTTCGCTACTTTTTGCCCAAAATTTCGCTATTTTTGCTACTTTTTAGCCCAAAATTTCGCTACTTTCGCTACTTTTTAGCCCAAAATTTCGCTACTTTTAGCCCAAAATTTCGCTACTTTTTAGCCCAAAATTGGGCTACTTTCGCTACTTTTTGCCCAAAATTGGGCTACTTTCGCTACTTTTTGCCCAAAATTGGGCTACTTTCGCTGCTTTTTGGCCCAAATTTCGCTACTTTTGCTACTTTTCAGCCCAAAATTCGCTACTTTTTAGCCCAAAATTTCGCTACTTTTTAGCCCAAAATTTCGCTACTTTCGCTACTTTTTGGCCAAAATTTCGCTACTTTCTAGCCCAAAATTTCGCTACTTTCGCTACTTTTTAGCCAAAAATTGGGCTACTTTCGCTGCTTTATGCCCAAAATTGGGCTACTTTCGCTACTTTTTGGCCAAAATTTTGCTACTTTTGCTACTTTTTAGCCCAAAAATTCGCTACTTTCGCTACTTTTTAGCCCAAAATTTCGCTACTTTTTAGCCAAAAATTGGGCTACTTTTGCTACTTTTTAGCCCAAAATTGGGCTACTTTCGCTACTTTTTGCCCAAAATTGGGCTACTTTCGCTACTTTTTGGCCACTTTTTCGCTACTTTCGCTACTTTTTAGCCCAAAATTTCGCTACTTTTTAGCC